CAAGTGAACTGACTTTCCCTAGTCACATTTTCTAATAAAGGCATGCAAGTTTTATTTGGCAAGGCCAAATAACAGTGAAATGCTCAGTGAAATGCAGTTGGAACATAAACAAATGGAGATTCAGCCACAAATCTTTGGCTTCTGGTATAGTTTGACTATCTTTTTCACTCCCTGGGCCTTATTCATTCTTCATTTTCTGCAAGCCTGCCAATTCTTTTATTCTTGCTTTATTGTTATCAGTAAGGAATAGCTTCTCTTGGGCACATCTGGTAATAATTTCAAAGCTAGTTGTCATATTTAATCCTCTTCAACTTGATAATGCAGATTTTCAATATTTAAAGCAAATTTAAAGAATTTATTTGAAATCCTGCAATCCTTGTATGGCAAAACCTTTGTTTACTATATTTTTAAGCCAGTAAGAAAAATGGTACCATAGAGTGTATTATATAATACAAAATATTATTTTATTATTAATATTAATATTAAAATAGAATACAGTCAATAGAGTTACAGTGATAATCCCCTCAAAATTTCAAAAACATTTTAAGTTGTTTTTAGTTACTATGAAAAGAACAACAAAATTTAATTATTTGAGTTGCAGAGTAAAGTTTGCAACGTTGACAGGAGTCAATGTTTTTTTCTAAAGGAGTTTTATTTATCAGATCTCTTTAAATTCATTTAAATGAAATACATTGAATTTGTAAGACTTTCCAGAATAATTTTGCAAAATGCATTCTGTCCTGTCATTTCTAAGATAGTATTTTACAAAGCTCAGGTTGACTGGAGAAATCCATTAGAGTTTCCTGTTATGCTTAGCAGTAACTAAAAAATAAAAAAAAAAAAGTGAGAGATCCGATTTATGGAATCCAAAGTTCTTTCTTCAAGTAGGACAAAAAAGAGTGTTATCTGGAATACAATTATCTAGAGAAGTGGTCCTTTCATACACAATTGCAAGGTGAAGTAAAAAGTTATTTTTAGCACCTTAAAAAATACTTTAACTTCACCTCCCTCTTTTTTAAGGAAAAATCTAGATCTTATATAGTAATGTAATAACTAAATATATTTATTTCAAAGTAAGTTCCAATAAAAATTAGTGTGACTTACTTTCAGCAAATATACCTATAGCAGAGCTGTAAGGATGAATTCATACATTATAGGTTGGATCCAGATGCAAATTATATTTAAATAAGTCCTGCTTAATTTAATGAACATAAACTTTTATTACTACCTCACACCCTAACATTTAAATTCACCTCACCTACATCAGGATGTAAGCTTGTTATATTTCAGTGTACACATCCAAGGCTTTGACTCTGCATGTAAACATAATACAGGTAGCCTCATTTAGTGACTGCCTCATTTAGCATCACAGTTACAGTGTGATGAAAAATAACTTTATGGCTATCCTCGCATTTATGAACTTTGCAAAGCAAAGGAAAGCTGGTCATAACCACAGTCACAGTTTCAATTGCTTAATGATCGGGTTGCTGATCATTACTAAAGAATGACTGGTGGTTACTAAAAAATGACTACCTGTACTATATACAAATTGTATTGAATATATGTGCAGTTTCCACTGAAGAAGATCCGGAAAATTAAATATACACTCTATTTGGAATATTAAGTGTAAGGTTGCATTCATCTCCATCAGTGGTCCCAACTTTCTGGCTTGGCAGTCCGGCGGAGGGGAGAGGATAGTTGCCTGTGAGTGGTGGATAGGCATGCAGAAGTGCGCGCAGCTCCATTCGTGCAAGCCACTTGTGTGAAGGGAACTTTATGGGCAAGCACAAGGGACTGCCGCTCATGTGGCCCAGTTCCACAGTGGGCCACGGCCCGGAGGTTGGGGACCCCTGATCTACATGCACCGAATGTGGTGAAGTTTACACTGTAAGATCACTTAAGCGGCAGTCCTGTAAATATTATTTGGGAGTTAGAATGGGAAACAATATCTGAGAAAGGCAGGATGGCAGGATTAAATATGCCAATCATGACATATTTCTGTCCTAAAGAGCTGAATGTGCTTGGTGAATTGGCCCTTTATTGCAATGAATCCAAAATGTCTCTCTAACTTGAATATTTTAGAATGAAGTGCTCTTATCTGAATGCTTTTTTCCCCCTAAAGCAGTGGTTCTCAACCTTTTTAATGCTGCGACCCCCCCAACCGGTCGTAAGTCAAGGGCTACTCAACCAGTCGTAAGTCGAGGACTACTCAACTGGTGCAGCACCGTTTGCAGAATGGGGCTTTTGGCGGGCTCAGCAGGGCAGAGACAGCCTGGACAATTCCTATTGGCTTTTGAAAGCCAATAGAATTAGACTCTATTCAAGAGAGTCTATTCTATTGGCTTTCAAAAGCCAATAGAATAAAAGGGAGTAGCACAGCTAAGGAAAAGGGGAAAAGAAAATGGCAGACTGCGTTGTTTGGCGACCCCCGTGAAATGGTCGTTCGACCCCAAATTGGATCCCGACCCACAGGTTGAGAACCACTGCCCTAAAGCAACTGGATTATGTTTTTTCTTGAGGAAGAAATGCTTTTTCCTTAAAAATGTTTTGCTTCTCATCCAAGAAGCTTTATCAGTTCTGGCAGGATAATGGTGGCGGGGAATGGAAGGATGGGGGGGGGGCATGGAAGGATTGTATTTCTTTGTAGTCATCTGGTCATTAGCACTCTCTTTGAGAGCTATTGAGGCCATTTTATCTGTACCCTCAGGGTCACCTGAATCAGAGCGCAAATGGGTGGGGAATCTTCTTGGAACTGCTGAAAGCTTTCGCTCCCAGTTGGAAAACCTTCAGCGTAATGAAGATGATGTGGATTAACAGTTTAGGACTGCTACAGTTTGTAACAATTCCTTTCAAAGGGAACGATGCCCAGGAATGTTTATCTTTTCTTGGACACAACACAGATTTATTGCGATGGGAATCCGATACCTGGTTTTTAAATTTTGAAGTTTCCCCATTTAGCATTCTGCTGCTGCTCAGGCCTCTAGGAATTCTAACCATGAGGGATTTGTCTTGCTTTCGTAGATTGCAGAGCTAGCCTACAAAAACAAGACGGCAACTTTCTACCCTGAACCAGAAGACAAGGAAGCATTCATCAGGTCTCAGATGTACAACACTGACTATGAAAGCTTTCTGGCAGACTCTTACGTTTGGCCCGAAAAAGCAATGAAAATACAGACAAGAAAAGTTTAACCAGAGACCACAACGCTGTAACAACGGAGCACTCCAGAAAAGGGTTGATTTCTGTCTTTTGTTAACTCAGAACTCCGTTTTTAACAGCAGCGTGTTTTAAACCTGTGGGGTTGGGATTAGAAATGTTAATGTTCTTTTCACTTTAAGGTACAATTATAAATCTATAAACAAATGAAAATAATTTGGATATAATAATTTCCTCCTTCTTTGGTCCTGCTAGGCAGCACTTACTGCAGGAGGAAAATTCAGTAAAATTCATAAGTGTTGACATCTGTACAAAATGGTGGTTCTGTTAACTAGTTTTGCCATTAAATTCAGATGAAGCAATACTGTGATAAACCATGTATCAGTATGATTACTTAAAGCATGGTTGGGGATGTTTAATTTATCAGGGCTACTGTAATTTCTCCCTTCGTTCGCCAACTTGCCTGTTAGCGTACCTTTGTGGGAGATTTTCAGATATGTTTAACGGTGCCCTCTCAAGACTATTCTATGTCTACTTGATCTATGGTTGTCGCTTGTACATCAATGAGCAGTGTCATTTGGTGAACCTTTTCTGTCATTGATAACTTTTGCACCGAGATCCCCCCTCCCCTTCCTCTCAGTGGAATTCAAAAGTACAAAATTCTTGACCATGAAATAATCCTACTGGCCATTTTACAGTTTGGTGTTGAATGGTGATGATTCCATTTTAAGGCTTTATATAGAAAAGGCAGTAATTCACTCCCATCCTAGTGCATTTGAAGGAAATTCCTAGAAGTTCCTTCCTACTCTGTTCAGTGTGAGGGAGTTAGATTCACGTTTGTGGTGCCAATCTCCCTTTTTAAAAATCTACCAGGTTACTCCTGACTCAGAAGGCATGTTTTAACGTTTCTGCGAGTCACAGCTGAAGCAGAATTACATGGAAAATGGTAAAAAAAGCTAAGGGGGAGATGGGGAATACCAGAGATTTTGGAATTTCAGGATAATCTGTGATAGTCTCAGGCCCATAGCTCTCCAGAAATTTTGTTCCGTTGTAGTGACCCAATACTACTTGCAAACCCCAGCAGGTGCACCTGCAGTACAAGGTGGTTTCTTTTTAAAATGCTGAACTGCCTCGGTCTTTCATAATGCGCAACATAGGAATGAGGTGTTAATATACTTGTTAGGGTTGTGCTACTTCTTTAAAAGATGTCTGGAAGTTGAGTCATGGCAACTGAACTTTTTTGTTTTGAAATGTTTTGCTGCTTTTCCAAGTAGCTTCTTCAGTCTACTGCAAAGGTCCCCAACCTTTTGGCCACCAGAGACCAGTTCCATGGAGAGAGGTTTTTCTGCAGACCGGAGGGTGTGTGGTTTTGTGTGCTGCCTGCATCCCACAGATGGGGCTTTGCTTGTTTGTGTGGACTGGTTGCTGGCATGCCGTGGCCTGGTACCGGTCCATGGACCAGGGATTGGGAACCTCTGGTCTACTGTACTTGTACTTGGATAAGCAGTGAAATGTTTCAAACCAAAAAAAAAGAAAAGTCCAGATGCCGTGACTCAACTTCCAGACAACTCTACCTGGATGCCTGAGAATCTTCATCGACATACTTTAAAAGATGTACTTAGCAACAGAAGGAGGCTCTCTTAGAATAAGTTGGGTTCTCTGCTTATAAAGATAAACAGAGAACCATCTGGAAGCAGTTTATAGGTGGCGATACAAGCCCAAATAATTGATATGATGTCTGCTTTATGGATTTGAAGACAAGTACATATTACATGTTGCAAAGCATTTTTTTCAAAAGGGTTGCTCAGCCCTACTGCTTATTACTTGTCCTCCAGAGATGTAGGCATTTTGAAATATATAAAGGCTGTATTTTATTTTATCATATTATACAGTATAATCACAGCAGTCCTCCTTGATTTCATACCAATATAACTGAGAACCGTCCTCCTAGCACATTTGTTCTTGTGCTAAGTGTCAGGAATTTTTCCTTCAACGCCAAACAAGATCTGAAATATGTGCTCACTTTGATGAACCTTAAGAAATTCTAGGAATTGACCAAGGTCCATATGATAGTCATTTCTTAATCCATAATCACCATGAGCTTGAAACTGTAAATCTTCAAAGGTCTGAAAGAGACGAAAACTTTCCCCATTTCCTTCTGTTTCTCCAGTCTCAAGATGCTTGCAGGAAATGTGCTTCCAATTAGGATATCTAATAATACGCCAAAACTCTTCACAGTTTTCTTTTGTGCCCTCCACACAAATCACCCCAGGCTTGCCAGTTAGACAGAAGCCAGTCAGATTTAATTTCTTTGCATATTCAAAAATCTTTTTCCTCAATTCTTGTCGGTATATGTGATGGCTGTAAATCCACATGCGTTTAAAGTGTGCTTTGGCTATTTCTTTCCTTGTTGTTCTTTCACAAACTTCACTATTTTGTACTTCGAATGTACTGCTATCCTGTAGCCACCGAACAGCTGCACATATACAAAGTTCTCCAGGCTCCAAAGAAGCAATGTAAGATGTAAGATCTTTATTGAGCTGCAACTGTTGTTGCCTGTCTAGTGCATCTGATCTCGCAAAAAGTTGTGGTGTCACGTAGGGGTAACTGTGAGGCAATTCCACCTGCAAATCTACAATGGCCTAAAAAAAAAAAAAGAGGGGGAGGCAAATAACATAATGAGTTATTTTGTACTTGAACAATTTTTCTGTGAAAAACTGTATGCTAAAGGAAATACAGGAATCCAACTACAATATACTTATGCAAGTTTTTTTTATTTCAGCAAAACCTAAAGCATAAAAACATAAAAAAATAATTATTCCCTTCCCAGAAATATTCTGTATATTCTATATGTCATAAAGGATATTTTTTACTAATCTGCATACAGTACATCTGCATACACAAGAACAAAAGTATACCAAACAATTCTATATACAGCCATCACTCAGTCTCTTTATGTATGCCCTCATACTACAGAGCTCTAAGTATGGTTATTTACAAATTAAGATAACTGCGTAACACAGAGAGCTGATATAACGTACAAGTTCCTGAATCCCTGACACAAGTAATCCTTGGCAACCGGGACTGGAATTCCCATCACTAAGCAATACTGTCCATAAAGAGCGACTGCATCACTTAGCATAGCAATCTCCGCAGTCCCAGTTGCTGTAGTTAACTGAATCTCGTGGTTATTAGTGGAGCAACAACAAAAATAGATATGTTCAAGTAAAGACTGGATAATCAGGATGCTTTAACTGAGATTTCTGCATTGAATAGGCTCCCTTCATTTATCTAGAGAAGCTGTTCTAGATCATAGATCACAGCTCAAGATTTAAAGTAGAAGAAAACGCTTCAGAAATGGAACAAAATTCTTCAATAAACATGTAGAAGGCGACTATCTTGGGGTCCCAGATATACAAATTAAAAAAAAGATATCCAAAAGAAGTCTGTAAAAATATGCCCAGTGAAGCTGCATTGTTAACTGAAAAAGCTTTTAGGCCATCTACAGCAGTGGTTCTCAACCTTTTTATACCGGCGACCCCAGTCATAAGGATGCGCCGCGCATGTGCGGCGGCGGCCCCATGTGCAGTGCGCGGCCCACCCCCATGCACGGCGCGCATGCGCGGCGCGGCACGCATGCGCGGTGCCGCCAGCTGAGGAAAAAAAATGGCAGATCGCGTTGTTTGGCGACCCCCGTGAAATGGTTGTTCGACCCCAAATGGGGTCACGACCCACAGGTTGAGAACCGCTGATCTACAGGGACATCTTCAACACCACTGCAGACAGGATATTGTATTATAATCATTTATTTAATCTCTAAATGCAGTACTATAATTTAATCTATAGCTGACAAAAAAAACCCCGACTAAGGCAAAATCCAACCAAATAGGCATTATGCCTATTGGGCTAAAATTAGTAATTTTATTGAGACTGACTCTCAGATGTTTAGTAAACTGAAGTACAATTGAAACTGTTCAATAATAATAACCAGTGAAAGCAAATGGTCTCACCTTGGTTTCATTTATAGGAACAGCAACTGAATACTCAATTTTAGGCGGGAGATTTTCAGTTGTATTGTTCAGGTACCTCTGAATATTCTGGAAAATATTTTCATCTTGAAGAGTTACTTCTCTTTTATTAGGAAACATAGACAAAAGCATTTCCAATTCCGCCACTTGAAGCTCAAGACTATCTTTTATATTGCTGGACATCCTGACAGATGCAGCTTCAGTCACCTACAAAAAGGAGATATCAAATCAATAAAGTTTTTGCTAGCATCGTCTCAAAAAAAAAAAAAAAGTCTTGAGACAGTTTGGAGAGCCTGATTTTTGTTTTCAACTGAAACATTTCTTTATTAGGGTGGGGGTTTGTTTTCCGAGCTTGTGGGTTGGTTTCTGAATGTTTCGTTAGCAGGCTAGGTAAGGAAACATTTGGAAACCAACCCACAAGGTCGGAGAACAAACCCCCACCCTAATCCTACACCCGAGCTACAGATATTTGCTGCTATCACAAACGTTTCTTTATCTGTAATCTTAGATTTAGGCATTAGTTGTAAGGAGTTAAAAGAGACGGTACAGAGTAAAATCAAGTCCCAGCAGAGACATAATGTACCACAATAAGGAGAAACACAAGAAATAAGACAAGACATAGGAAAAGCCCTTCAAAATTGTGGAAGCGAAGATGCCCTCCTGGCTGCTCAAGAGATCCAAAGAAAGAATGGCTGCTTGGAAGGTATACTAACCAAAGGGCAAAAGAAATGGATGCAAGCCCTCAGATTGATACAGGTAGTCATAGTAACAGCCACTGAGTCCAGTGTTCATTTGAAGTTATGACGGTACTGAACAAGCGGTGGGCTACGATCATTCCTCAAAAGTTCCAGCTGTCCCAGTACCCTTGCTGTCATGGGATCAAACTCTGATACTTGGCACCTGGCTCATGTGACCGTTGCAGTGTCCAAAATCACATGTTCACAAATTATGATTTTTCTCAGCTAGCTTCCCACAAGCAAAATTAATGGGGAAGCCGGCATGGAAGGTTGTAAACAGGTCAGCGAAGTCTCTCCTACTTATGCACCCTCTCCCTGCCAACAATTACCCCCCCCCAGCCTCACTGCGCTTATGCCTCTTACCAATCTTGCTTTGCTCTCCCATCCAGCAGCAGCCACTCCGAGCCTTGCCATGCTCTGCTGCACCGCCTCGGCCATCCGCACACTCCCTTGCTCTGTTTTCCACCAGGCAACGGCAACTTATCTGTCGTCTCAGGTTTACTGGCACTTGCAACTTCTTGCCACCTCCCCCCCACCCCCAGCAGGAAGGCGGGAGGAGGTGTTTGCTTACCTGTTCTTAGAGATATCCAAGAGAGGATCCTGTGCAGGAGAACTAAAGAAGAATAATTTTGCCCGGTCAATGGTCCAGCTTTTGAAATGTCCTACTATTGTTCTGTAGGAAAAAAAGCAAATTCCATGAGTACTTTCACAATTCTGGAAATGTCTTTTGAATTGCAGCAGCAAAATGCAACACAGGGCCAATGTATACTTTGGTAGTATTTTCTTATACTGTTCCAGGGTACACGTGTGTTAATGGTTCCATGCTTGCAGACTGCTAAGCCTGAGTCCAGTGGGGCTGAGCGGCTAATACATTTTAATTAACATTTATTTTTAGTATTTGGTTGAACAAATGTTTTCACTTTCCATGACTTTCTTAGCCGTGATGGCGCAAAACGGAAGGAAGCAGAGGGGCTCCCCTGGTCCTCCTAGGGGACGGGCCAATTGAAGTCCTCTTTGGCGGGATCTCAGGGAGGACCCCAACGCTTTCTCGCTCTTGCATTTAGCTTTGCTTGCCCTCTGTTCAGTTCCGTGCATAATGCAACACCAAATCCGACTGATATTTAGGAAAACTCCAAACATAGTAATAAAGCAGCTCCCATTTCTAGAGTTACTAGATCTGAGTTGCAGAACAATGTCCTGTGAACCACCATAAGGCAGAAAAGAATAAAAAGCTCCTACATCTCTTTGCCACCATCTCAGGGTCATCTATTACCGTCAGCTACACACGCCTCCAGTTCATATAATCAGTTCATTTCTTTCAGGAAGTTGTTGCTGACATTCTAGTTGGAGCAATCTAACCTAACACAGGTAGTCCTCGACTTATGACCATAACTGAGCCCAAAATTTCTGTTGTTGACAGTTAAGTGAGTTTTGCCCCATTTTGCTAGTAACTCGGCTGTTAAGTGTATCTGGCTTCCCCATTGACTTTGCTTATCAGCAAGTCGCAAAAGGTGATCATGTTACCTTGGGACGGAGCAACGGTCATGAGTATGAACCAGTTGCCAAGCATCTGAATTATGATCACATGATCACGGGGATGCTGCAAAGATCATAACTATGAAAAACAGTCACAAGTCACTTTTTTTCCAGTGCCGATGTAACTTTGAACGGTCACTAAAAGAACCGTTGTAAGTCGAGGGCTACCTATGAAAGGGGAGAGAGACCTGGTCTTCACCATCGGGGAGGGTCAGGCCAAAGATGTGGTCGTCAAGAAGCGCTTTTAAATTCTACGCAGAGCCTCTGGCTCGGCACTATAACCCACCTTCCGCCTAAGATTTCTGTCAGAGCTGGTCGTACAAATCCCGGAGCCGACCTACGCGCTTGATTGCAGAGGAGCACGTACCCGACCGGCCAGCTCACATGGCTGCAGATGAAGGACGTGGGCCAGGAAGCGCCACGCAATCCAGCCCCGGCCGCCGGAGGAGGGACTCTGCCCTGGAACGGCGCTTGGGCTTTGCAACACGCTTCGTTCGGGCCCCCGCACGCTCGGCCCTCTGATTGGTGCATGCGGGAAAGGCGAGAAGGAAACGTGTTCTGGGCCGATCCCGGAAGGGCGCCTCAGAGGTGGGCGCCGTCTCTTTGCCAGGCTCCAGAGCGCTGCAGGTAACACGGTCGCTTGGGTGGCTTCGGTCGTAGATCGTTCCAAAAAATGGGGGAGGCTTCCTGCCCACAGAGGCTCATGCGTGTTAGAACTCTGCCAACAAATCATTTAAAGCATAGTTTTGATTGTGGGAGGTGGTTGTGATTGAAATTGCGATGGGCTCCTGTAATTGAATCTCTAGTTTGCAGTTTCCTGGATATCCAGAAAAAGACTGATATGGAAAAGGAAAGTAACTAATCCCCCAAGATCGGTTTCGGTCTTCTCCCCTTTGGTGCCCAAGCAGTGAGGCGACCTGGGATTGTCAGGGGTAAGGAACAAAGTCCTTGTGAAGTTCCAGGGATTCTCAACCTTGGCAACTTTAAGACTTGTGGACTTCAACTCCCAATAATTCCTCAGCCCAGCAAGCTGGCTGAGGAATTCTGGGAGTTGAAGTCCACAAGTCTTAAAGTTGCCAAGGTTCAGAACCCCTGACAGACCGGGATAATGAAGTTGCAACACTTTGTACTGCCATCTGCGCTTTTTAAAGTCTTGTCTTATAATTATCTTGGCAAATAATACTGGTAAAAAAAACCACAACCTACTTTTTTTATAAAGCATAAGGAATAGATTCTATTGTGAATGAAATTCAGTTCTCTTTCCTAATAATTTACAGCACAATTTTGATTTGCAGGATCTCCACCTCTAACTTTGTGGCAATAAGTTAGTGTTATTTCTTGTGCGCTCTACAGAAATGGATTTCGAAGCAGTCACAAAATACTCAAAACTGCATGCTAAACCTCTGGGACTTTTCCTCCAATATGGAACAGCTGGGTTCCGTTCCAAGGCAGGAAACCTCGACCACGTCATGTTTCGTATGGGACTGCTGGCTGTCCTGAGGTCCAAGAAGACCAAATCCGCTATTGGTGTGATGGTTACAGCCTCTCATAACCCTGAAGTAAGAAACTGGACATTTCAGAGGAGGAGAACAGCTTTTGTGTAGGAGCTCTTGTTCTAAGGTTATTTGGGCCTTGAAAACAATGTCTACTAACTGTTAACTTTCTGTACAGTTAAGATGCCTAGTTTAAACTGGAAAATATTTTTTTAATTAGCATAATTTTAGAATATAGGTAACCCTTGACTTACTGTCAGCCATTGAACAGCCATTTGAAGTTACAGTGACCTCAGAAAATGGGATTGTGGCCCATCAAGCACCATTATAAAATGCCATGTTCCCCCTGGTCACATGGCTGCATTTTAGGTATTGAACACAATTCAACTCTGAGCTACAAATATTCTATATTGGTGCATTTTGGATGCTTGACAGTTGACTCAAATTTACAACTGAGTGTATCATCCTGTGGTCACTTTTTTTGCAGATTTCTGGCAAAAGCACCCATTTGGGAGAATGGATTAAATGACTGTGGTTCCTTTAACAAATGTGTGATTTTGATTTATGACTATTTCTTAAGGACCACTGTAAAAACAGTCAAAAAATTGGGTCCAGTCATTTTGGGGGCCTGGGCTTATAATCACAATGATTTATGACTGGAATTCTGGTCCCAATTGTGGTTGTAAGTTGAGAATTACTTGTAGTGTTACGTGTAAGCTACGTGTTAAATCTGATTGATTCATTGTTTGGGTATAACTTGCACTTCCTGGAACTTTCTCATAATGCACTCTGTCTTCTCTGTTCAATTATTTACCACACAAATATTATGCATGTTTACTTTGAAATAAGTCATTGAGTTCAGTGGTGCTTTTTGCAAAATAAGCATGAACAGGAGCTTTGACTTTTCCCTCTGACTTTTCAGTAAGATTAAATCATTTTACCTTTTTTGACATTCTTTTTGAAAAAGCACTTACAAGTTTTGGTACGCTTGATTTAATGTTTTATTTTTATTTATTTATTATAAAGGTGTCGCACTTCAAAACAGTTTTCCTTGGGCAATTTACAACACTATATCTTTTAGAGATGGGCACGAACCATTTTAAATTCCAAATAGTCCATTCTGTTTTAAGTTTGAAGCAAGTGTTTGGAGTTCCAAAGACTTTGAATTTGAAACTTTACACACTTTTAATATATTTCTTTGCTTCAGAGAAACCAAATCTTTTTTCTAAACATGCCATTAGCTTTGATAGTGCTAATTTTCTGCCTTCCCCCAGGAAGACAATGGCGTGAAGCTGATTGATCCTTCAGGGGAAATGTTGGCCCCTACATGGGAAGAACATGCCACATTGTTGGCTAATGCAGAAGAGCCCCAGTTACACTGTGTCCTGACTGAGATCGGCCAGAAAGAGGCAGTGGACCTTCAGAACAAGGCCTTCATTGTGATTGGTAGAGACACTCGGTAAGCCAGAAAGCCGATACATATCTTTCAGGTCAAAGGGCAATATATTGTTCATCAGGCTGTTCATTGGGATCAAATGAATTCACATGAAAGATTCACCTGGACGTTTCTGAGACTTGCAGAAAATGTTGGATGACTATGGTTACTATGGTGCCAACAAGCAGACTAAATACATCCATCTCCTTCAACTTTACTTCCACAGCACAGTGAGAAGAGTGTGGTGTAGACCTGTAATAGCCTGCATTCATCCATGGCTTCCTGATGCCTTTTTTATGTGTCTATTTTGTGTTGGTTTTGCTTATAACAGTGGTTCTCAACCTGTGGGTCAGGACCCCATTTGGGGTCGAACGACCATTTCATGGGGGTCGCCAAACAAGGCTGTCCATCATTTTTCCCCCCTTTTCTTTGGCCACGCCCCTGGCACCCAGTGATGTATAAGTGGTTGGGGGTCACCACAACATGGGGAACTGTATTATGGGGTCGCGGCATTAGAAAGGTTGAGAACCACTGGCTTATAAGAAGCAGCTGGGAATGTGTATAGTTTAATTCCTATAATAGAATAGAATAATAATAGAATAGAATAGAATAGAATAGAATAGAATAGAATACTATAGAATAGAATAGAATAGAATAGAATAGAATAGAATAGAATAGAATAGAATAGAATAGAATAGAATAGTTGGAAGGGAGTTTGGAGGTCTTCTAGTCCAACCCTTTGCAGGGAACCCTATACCATTTCAGACAAATGGCTGTCCAGTCTCTTCTTTAAAACTTCCAGTGTAGGAATATTCACAACTTCTGGAGGCAGGTTAATTGTTCTAACTGTCAGGAAGTTTCTCCTTAGTTCTAGGTTGCTTCTCTCCTTGATTAGTTTCCACCCGTTGCTTCTTGTCCTGCCTTCAGGCGCCTTGGAAAATAGCTTGACTCCCTCTTCTTTGGGGCAGCCCCTGAGATACTGGAACACTGCCATCATGTCCCCCCTCGTCCTTCTCTTCATTAAACTAGAGAAGTTTAATGAAGGGACTGCTGGGACTGTTAAAGTGATATCCTATTTTATGACCACATCATTTAGCAATGGAAATTCTAGTCCCAATTTCTGTTATAACCTTGGGACTATCTGTAGTAAGTGGAGTGGTACATGAAACAAGTGGTTCTTAATGCACCCGCTTGTTGCTCTGTGCTTCCCTGTGGTGGCCTGCATGATTCCTTGCAGAGGGACAGGCCAGTTCCTCCCTTCCCCATCGTCATTGCGTTTTCCAAGGGCATCTTTTATCCAGCTCAGAATTGGCTTTAACCCTCTCTCAGCAATGGCACCTGAGAGTATAGGTCTGTTGGCAGACACCTACTTGGGTGAAGGCAGTCACTCTTTGCCAGCCCACATAAGCCATCTAAAGTGCTGTGAAGAAGAAAGATGGGAAGCAGATGTATAAAATATATACATAGATGCCATATGAATCATTGGGAACACCGTGAGAAATGCCAAGGCCTTTTCGGTGGATCCTAATTAAAAACCTGCCTAGAACTCTTTGAGTTGCTCAGCTGCCAACATTCTTTCCCTTTGCAGAAAGAAATCTTACTTGGTAAGTATTTGTGTTTTAGCTTGTACTTTGGTGTAGCATTTTTAACAAAGCATTTGTTTGTTTCTGTGTGCTGCTTGCAGGCCAAGCAGCAAGGAGCTATCCCAATCAGTAATGGATGGTGTCTCTGTCCTCGGAGGTCAATATCAGGGTACGTTTGCTCTTTGATTGCCATTCGGTTACTTATCCTGATGTTGAGATTTCTCCTGTTTGGTCTGTGTAGGTGTAAGGAAACTGTTTGGGAAGTCTGGAACTCGGGGGCAGAATTATGCTTTGTATGCAGGAGGTCTCTGACTCAGTCTTTGAAATCTCCAGAGCTGGAAAAGACTTAATTGAAACCCAGGAGAACTATTCACACTTGTAATAGATAATACAGATCTCACCTAGCCAGCAGCCTGACTCAGTACGAGGCAGGAATGGAACTTGTAGCCCTGCTAATGTGTTAACTACAACTCCCAGCATTCCTTAGAATTGATTTTTTGGACGGGGCTACTGGGAATGGTAGTTCCACAAAATCTGGATGATTACACTTCCCTTTTCTGGTAAAGGGCTTTAGTTTTGCACAGGTAAATGAGGAGCCCTGGCGGCGCAGTGGTGAGAGTGCAGTATTGCAGGCTGACTCTGCCCACACAGCAGGAGTCCGATCCTGACCAGCTCAAGGTTGACACAGCCTTCCATCCTTCCGAGGTCGGTAAAAAGAGGACCCAGATTGTTGGGGGCCATAGGCTGACAGTGTAAACTGACCAGAGAGGGCTGTAAAACACTGTGGGACAGTATATAAGTCTAAGTGCTGTTGCTATAGGTAAATGAATGCTTGACTCCTCTCTCTTTCTCTCTTACTAGACTATGGCTTAGTAACAACTCCACAGTTACACTATATGGTCCGTTGTCACAACACTCAT